GTTCCTCCTCTTGTGAGGAGACACCCAGCCTTCTCCACCATCACATTCCTCCATCTTTCAGCAAGTGCTATGAGGAAATTTCCCACCTTTTCAACCAGCATGCACAAACATTGGAAGAGATTTCTGTGCAGGTTCTACACATGTACAGAATCCTTCTTCATTCTTGGACCTGCCACAGGATGCTGATGAGGGTTTCAAATAAAGCACAGTGAAGAACTGGGGTGCCTCTCTTTGCATGGCCGGGGCAAGAAGACCATGTTGCTTCACAAAGCAGCTTGGAGGGCATGCTTCTTTGACTCTTTGCTGAAGGGAAGAACACCTTTGAAGATTTGCCCAGCCCAGCTGAATCTCTACCAAAGTATGTAAAGTTCCTAAGATGCATAGATAGAGCACTCGGCAATATTTAACTATATTTATCAAAAATAATTATTGTTGGTTCTTTAATCATAAATATATCTTACTTCTACTGTTAGATAGAAAACCAGGCTCAGCAGAAATATGGACCAAACATAAAGATCAAGAAATTTAATGTCCATAATTCCTGTAAGCTAGATGAAGCTATAAGATGCATGTATACCGTATTTCACAGACTGGTCAATAAGTAAGACTTTAAATTGCATTGATTTGAGGCAAAACTGATAGTTTTTCTATCCCACAGCTCCTACAATAAACAACACAGCTGTTATGTTAAGCTATATATTTGGAGGTCTGAGGCACTAGATTGAATGTATTCATTATTATTTGACAGGATTTCAATACTCTAATATAAGGAGAAACTAAAATAATGCCAGACTGCCCTCAAACTATATTAAGAACCTCAAAATTATTTTTCTTCACTAATGCATTCTAAAAGCTTAACTATACAGCAATAAAATAATTATCAGAATCAAATTCTTTACTGGACTTTACCCCTCAATGCCAAAATTTCAAATAAAAATAACATTTCACCATATCTATTATGAGACAGAAGTCTTACAAAGGACAACAGTTCAAGGAAGGCAGTTAACATTTAGTTTTGTCTGACATGTAATTCTTAGACTTAGTTCTGCCCCAATATTTTAAAAAAGTCATTTTAAAGAACAAATAAGTCTGATATTTAGTTTTATAGATAAACTCAATGTCTGACAAATAAGCCAAATGACCAATAAGCAGGTGTTTCTAAAACTCATTTGTTTCTTTTGTTACTGAATATAAGACATATTCTTATGAAAACAACTCTGGGATAACAAGGTAATAATATCTGAAACCTGAATGTAAGAAAACCCATACTACTTTAGGTAACCCATGACCTAAATGTAGCTCTGCAACTCTCATTTCCTACAGCATTTCCATGTTCCAGTGCTGAACTTTGGAGGTGGTGGGAAACTATTTCCTAAATACGATTATAAAAGTCCAATAAGAAACTGACTATCATGGTTTTGTCCTATACTGCCCCTATTTTAACACGAATAAAGGAAACAGCAATAAACAGAAATGCCTAAAGGCTTCCAGAATTTTTGTCATATGCCTAGGGACATAGTCTGGAAAGGCACCAATATAGGCACCCATTCTCAAAAGAGGAGCACCACAGAGAATCACAGACTGAAGAAATATGGCTTCTCAAAAGAATCTAAAGTGGCAATGATATTTTTTTTCCATTTTTTTTTCTCCCAATTCTCTTTAGGGAGTCCTATTGTTTCGTAAATAAAGCCACTATAACAAATGCAGTCCAAGCTCTGATCTATGCAAAACAATCAATGTTTAGTTGCAGACAGCTGACAATGCAATATGCAGGAATTATCACTGCATAATTGACACCCTGGTGTGCACTTCTGCTTAATTTAACAGCAAGAATCCAACTCCCCTATGTGTTTTTATACATACTTAGCATTAGTTGTTTCGGCTTGGTGCCTTCCTGTTCATAATGAGATGGATCACTGTGTTCTTTGACAACAGATGGTTGCAGGACAAATTTATTTTTAGATGTAGATGTTCAATAATTGTCAGTCTGGGAATGCAGAATTTGAATTTTGAACATCAACAGTTACGAAGAAGTAAAATGATTTTAATCTCATAAAATATCTCAAAGAGTATCTTATAAATGTGTGCTCTGTTTTTGTCAGTCTGCTTTCCCTTGACACCTCCTCCTCCCCACCCCAAGACTGCTGGATGTTCCAGGCTTAATAAACAGCAAGGTATGGTGGTGGCTACCAGCTTCAAAAAGCTGGCTTCAAAAAGGGGTTAGACCAGTTCATGAAATCAGAGTGATCAATGTCTATTAGCCTTGATGGCAGTGTGGTTGCCTTTGAGAGCCATCTTCTGGGAGACTAGTGAGTTTCCTTGTGCAGTTGGCTGGCCACTGTGAGAATAAACTGTTAATGTGTTTGCGTGTTCAATTTTCCAATTGTCTTCCAGTTTACCTGCTTTTCTTTTGATAAATAAGTCCCAGGGAAAGGAATAATGCCATTATAATTGTTCAAATTAAGCCACTGCTTGATTCTAAGACAAACTTTTTTGTAACCATGTTTTGAGATTATCAGCATAAACTTTCTGTTAGTGGGAATGTGAAAAGCTCACAAAAGCAAATCTTCCGTTCAGAAAAGAATTGGGAAGTTCTATTTTCTTTCTCCTTTTTTAAGAGCATGAAATGAACTTAGGAAAGAAAGAGCATACACTCTTCGTTCAGATATTCTCAGAGACTGACAATGTAAATCAGTGTTCCTCAACCTTAGCAACTTTAAGATATGTGGACTTCAACTCCCAGAATATTCTGGGAGTTGAAGTCCACATAT